TATTCACCAATACTGAAACAGTAGCTGTTGTGATGCATTTCGAAATCCAACCTCCCCATGTATTACCAAAGCCCATTTTCCTCATTACTTTGAACAAAATAGGCCAATCGATTGTATCATAAGCCTTCTTGAAATCAACTTTGAAACACAACCCTTTAATCCATTCTTCCTCCAAAAATCGATCCCTTCATTAGCTATTAAGAAGCAATCAAAAATTTTTCGATCGGGGATAAAAGCGAATTGAGAAGGGCTGATTAAATCTGATATACAGCTCCTAAGTCTCCTCGATAGACACTTAGACAGGATCTTGTATAGCCCACCAACTAAGCTAATAGGTCTAAAATCATCTAGGCCACCAGTGTTAGAGTTCTTTGGAATGAGAGTGATAAAAGTATGGTTTATTTCATGTTCCCATTCCTTCCCGGAGTAGAAATTATGAAAGAATCTCATAATATCTTTCTTAAGGACCTGCCAAAACCTTTTGAAAAATCCCAGATTTAAACCATCAAGCCCTGGAGCCTTGTTGTTGTCACATGACTTCAAAGTTCCCCAAACTTCCTCCTCAGAAAATTCCTTTTCTAATAATTGACTCTGCTCCATATTAATTCTGGAAAAATCCAACCTTATATCATCAGTTTCTAATGTAGATCGCTCATTGTAAATCTTAAAGAAATAATCTTTTACTAAGGCCTTAATAGCTGTCAGTTCCTCAACTGAATCACCCCTAAATTTAAGAGAAACCAGAGCATTCCTCTTTTTCCTGACTGTAGCACACATCTGAAAATATTTAATATTACGATCCCCATCCTCTATTCACTTCAATCTAGAGTACTGAAACCAAATCTGCTCCTGAATTTTATAAAGATTCCACAATTCTGCTCTGTGAGATTTCAATTCTGCTAAAACTCCACTGTCAATAACACCTTGCTGTTGCTGAATATCAACTTCTAACTGCTGAATTTTCTTCTCTAATTCAGAAATCATGGCTGCTGGATACTGACCTCTCCTCTCAGCCCACTTTTTAATTGCATATTTTGTACTTCTTAGTAAACTGAACACACCAGCTTTTTTATGAGTTTTCTTACAGTTTTGAATTGATGATTTAACCAGATCCTCAAAACCCTCCTCCTCCATCAAATTGTTGAATAGTCTGAACAGTTTTTGACCCCACTCAACACCTTTATTCACAAGAACTATTGCATTATGATCCGACAGAGACCTAGGGAGTAGTGACTGAACAATATCCGGAAACGAAACCAAGAACTGACTGTCGACCAAAAATCGATCTAATCTTACAAAAGTGGGATTATCTTGGTTATTGCACCAAGTAAACCTACCCCCATTCATAGGAAGATCAATTAGACCAGTTTGAAGGATAAACTGACTAAATATCTCCATAGAACTTCTATTTTGACCTCTTCCCTTCTCTTCTTCTTGTAAATAAACGTTAAAATCCCCTACCACACAAAGAGGATAATTCTGCCCCCTAAGGAACATGCTCAATTCTTCAAAGAAACTAGGTTTATCCTCCTCCACTGATGGCCCATAAACATTGATGAAACCGCAGCTGTAATTATTATCCCGAAATTTACCAAAAATTGCTATAAGTCTCCTGCAAACATACTGTTTTTCCAGCTCAAAAATATTGTCGTCCCAACAGCACAATAAACCCTCTGATAATCCGATCGAAGGAGATTCTAAAACACCCTTTAGATTATTGATCCCACTTCTTCTGAAAAAAGACCTATGGATTTTCTCTGATTTGGTTTCTTATAGCCAAAGAAAAGTGGGATATATACTAGAAACTAAATTCTGAACAGCCCTCTTTTTTTCTTTTTTTCCTAAACCCCTAACATTCCATGAACAAATTACTAACTTTGACTTCATCATAAAAGATGAAGTGATGCGATTTTCTCGACTTTTTTCCACCGCAGTAGGGAAGCATTATTGAAGTACATATTAAGGAACAGGAATTAAAAATACACGATTTTCAAGGCCTCAACTTATTCTATTGCTTTGAGTATAAAACATACAGCGTACATTATGTATTTATGTCTGCACCTCTAGCCGACAACCGTTAGGCTAAAAACCATTCATGGGTAATAAATATATATACATATATGGCATTCTAAGTTATCAGATGTCATTATATCAACTCATGTATTACTGTTTTAACTTTACATCAAAGTTAAATTGTGAAACTGGAACTCATCCTATGAAAAGAGTATCCTTCAAGCCAGTCGGTACTTTGCCCTCTACAAAGGCATCAATAATTTTCCTACCGTAAACAATCAACAAGACCAAAGCCAAATAGAAAGAAATTTTGTAGAATCATCTTAACAAGAAAATGTAACAATCACTTTTAACAATCTGTTTAAGTTTGGAAACCCAAAAAGAATATTCCCAATTTTTGGAACCGTACATTCTTTAATTGTTGGGTTTTGAATGGCCCCATTTTAAAATGCAATAAAAATCTTCAATTGCTCTATCCAAATATAACCTATGCAAATATAACCTATGAGACTTGTTTTAAATCAAGGAAATTCTTGGTAAAACAGACTTGCGCCCGGCCTCCTTATTTGTGCAGACTTCATACTAGGCTACTAAGTGCACAGAATAAATTGCTCAGCTTCCTCGGTTACGACCATGAGTTTGGAATTGAGCACACAATGGAGGGGAATCATTAGACCCTCTTATGACTTGTTAGAGAGAGACTAGTGTTTTGATAAAAAAAAATTGACTTGGGTTTTATTTTTCCATTTGTCCTTTAAATAAGGATCGGTCTAATTACATAAATAAGAAACCTCTTCTAGAAACTAAAGAAATCACTAAAATAAAATCGCAATCAAGAAACCCAAGGAAAGAAATCAACTGAACAAGATCACAATCAAGAAACCTAAGCAGTACCTAGAGAACTGAAACTTATGCCTATCCTAAAACAGGTTCGGCCCACAAACATCCACAACATCCTTCTTCTAACTCCCTGCTTCAACACAACATAGGTCATTATTAGGTACATTGATTCAATTATTTGTCTTTCTACCTTGCTTCACATGACAAAGCAGAAACTGTAGCCACCCAACATTTAACTACAACTCATAACCCATCTGTTTGTTTACATCATAGTTATGTAAAGGCTGTAAATAACATAAAAGTTGATAAGACAGGGAAAGTGAAAACCCAAGCTTCAAAAAATAAGTGTGATAAATCCTTTGGCCATCATGAACGGATTTGTTCCAGTGGATGTGGCAGGTAGATTTGGATGCTTGGGAATTAGACTCTTGAGAACGGTACCATAGAAATTTAGAGACAAATCAAGAGTGCTGCCTGTGAGTCCAACTTCACTGCTGTGCAATAACATATGCAAACAGTAATCTACAAGTTTCAAATAGACTGAAGGGAGCTTTAAGAACTCATATCTTGCTCTGACACAACCAACACAGTTTATATGCAGCTAACAGAGGTAATCATTGAGCCATATGGAAGCCTTGGTTGCTATTTCTTATAGTTATACGGTTTTATGAATTATATACAAAATTAATGGAAGTATGAATTAATGTTTGATGAGCACTTTATTTATCAAGTATCCATAGTCGTTACATTTTTTTGTTGCTCCAGGAAGAGGCCTAAATTACTTTAAGCTGCAAGGCAGCCAAATACAACCACTTGCACCTACATTGGAGAGAGGCCTCAAACATTCAATCTTCTGAGATGATACTTTATAATCCACAATAATCTAATCAAACTTTCTTCTAGATATGCAGGAATTCTGTGAATGTATTAAATAATTTCTTTACAATATCCAGTTGAAAGTGGGGATCTAAAACACACCATTTTTTTTTATAGGAATAGATGGCCTCATTAATAAATCCGTTCAAATTATCACCTGCCATATTTCTAACTTTCTTCATATCTGATTCTTTTGTTTGATAATTTGAAGGAAGTTTCTACATTAATAAATTCTGTGAATGTATTAAATAATTTCTTTATAATATCCTCACCAATATATGTACCTCTGTATAGCTTTCCAAAAGCACCTTGAGCAAAAGCTGTACCCATGTTAAGTTTTCTTAAATCGATAGTCCACTCATCATAATTCTGTAATACCTCATTTTGGTGCCTGCCATCCATTAATGCTTGAGCTAATGCATCATCATTAAGCGCATGGCCAACCTTACCAGGGTGAAACACACACTGGCCCACAGAGACAGTAATTGTGGCGGTTCACAGGTTTTTAAACCAGGGTGGTCTAAAATGTGGGTGAAAGAATCATTAGAGTCCACACTACTGTTTTCGACTGACATGGACACCGATCCACCAGCATTACTTGTTTGTAAACTGTCAATAGACATGTTTGATCCCTCGCCAAGTTTTTTATAGAACCCTAGAGTGAAATCATAGTAATTGTTGTCATTATTGTTGGTTCCTCCCATAAGACCTGTATATTTAGGCCCCTCGACCATTTTCCCAAAAGTGAATGAAAGCCCAAATGATCAAATGAGGATAACCAGTTCTCTTTAGCCCAAACTCTTGGTCCAATCGCTTAAGATATCACCTAAAACCAACATGGTGAAAGTCTGTGAGTTCCCAACTGACACTAAGTGCTAGAGATTACGGGCAATCAGCAAGCATTGCTTAAGATTTAAGATATTAGTTGTGCCTAATTTGTTGAGTAAAGGAATTAAAGAGACAAACAGATATTAAAAAAGTGACAGATGAAACGTCTGTTAGCCGGCAAAGGGAGGTAAATTGTTGTTTAGAGATGAGAAAGAAAGGAGAGAAGTTATTTTCGGAAGCAGAGTCAAGAAATTGGAATACATCCAGGTCCTTCTATTTTCTTTGTGGTTTGTTTTTAATATAACTGAATTACGAAAGGAAATACCAGCTAGCTTTATTTTCCCGTTTTGAAACGTTTGTTCACCCGTTTAATTTTAAAAGAATGGGAAGACAGACCATAATTTGGTCAAGGAAAATTAAAAGCCTCGGAGTTGCAAGCACACCGTAGAAATGCAGTTATCTGGATCTCAGATTGTTTAGGTTGATCCAGCATATACGCCAAAATATCCGTTTCTGAGACAGTCAAACCTCCAAATCACCACAGATATCTGAGATTGAAAAGCAGAAGCGGCAACGCAATGACTTTTAGGCTTAGAAAAATAAATTCCTACGGATATAAAAACATTCAACTTTCAAATGCAAAAATTTGCCCCATGACTATGTTCTTAGATCAACTAAACACAAGGAAGCAGAACCAAAAAAACGATTCAGCTACAGATTTTCAACAAAAGAAACACAATTTGAAGTTCAAAATTCTTACCTTTCCGTTTACTAGATAACAAATTGAACCGAAATATTCCATTTTAATAATAAAAAAATATTAAAAGAATAACATGTTCATAAATCTAACGGCGTCAGGCATAGATCAAATTAAAGGACGCTTAGAAATTGAAGAAAAGCTGTAAAAACCAAGGCAATACAAGTATCAACAGAGCATATTCAGAAGGGAGAGACAAATCGGATGCATACCTTAGCCCTTACATATAATATAAAATAGAGGAGCTGAATACAAAACAACAACAACAAAGTGCAGGAGAAGAAAAGAACGGGAAGAGAGGAGCAATCCGAGTCAGTCTACGCTTCTCATTTACTTTCGAGGCCTGACCCTGTACCACTCACCATTACTCTTCCTACTTTTCCAATCGCTCTATATCGTTTACACGTGTTCTTATATCGTTTCTTTGTTTTGCTTTTACGAGGTCATCATCCTCCATCCTCTGATAGCGCGCGTGCCTTCCTTTCCCTTGGCTCTGCTTTTCTTAATTTTTTATCTACCGAGCCTTTTATTTTATATTTTCTCAATTAATTATCAACAGTTTTGGATTTGGACAAATTTATTCTATTTTATTTTTATGCCTTTAGTTTTGTAGACTTCTTCAAAATTATATTTTTTAATTTAAATAATAGAAATAGCTGTACTCACTTCTCCATTTGAATTAGCAAGCTTTATTTAGGATTTTGGTGCAAAAATTACTTTTTGGAGGCTATTCGGGGAGGTCGACAAGTACAAGATTCGAATTACAATTTTGATCGTAATAAAAAAACAAAATCAGTTATTATTTCCGTTATCTTTTAAAGCACTAGGTTTGTGCTCTTCTACAACAAGGTTTTAGAAGCACAATACTTTCTCTCTTTATTCTATTAATGTAATTCTCTCATACCGATGCGAATATCCCGATTCGATCTGGAGTGTCACATTAGGGCCACCGCAGCGACCCACCGTAAAAATAGCAGAAAATTTAAAACTTTTTATCAGAACATGTAAACTTATAAAATCATGTATCAATATTTAAAAATAAAATAGATTTTCAGACTCTTATATAAAACAAAATTCAATTACATGCCCCATAATAACATGTACCATACTCTGCAACAACGCCGGAAGAATTCCCTTACTGAAGTCGATAACTGCACTGGTACAATTTTTTTAACCTGCAATGATGAGTAATAGAGTGAGCTTCGGAAAGCTCAGTAATACAGAACTACCATATGATGCTGAAGAATGTGTAGATACAGATAAACATATATATTTTTATTGGTTCTGATATCTACAGATTTTTATTTCTGAGCGGAGATCCTACTAATAATTCAGGTGATAACGGACAATAAGCTTTCAGTTCAGAGAAATATTTCGGATGTCTAGGTTCAGGAGATTTGAATAGGTTATCTAGTGTGTTCCCGTAAAACCAGTAAAAAGATGCAGATCTTTTAAAACATATATACATATACCCCCATCCCTTCACAACAGAATGTGTAGGTTCCCCAGAACCATACACCCAACCCACACAACTTGTAAGGCCCTGAGCACAAAGCCGAGGAACCTGCGGAAATACTTTCTTCAACAATACCCCCCAATTAAAACATTTTTCCGTCATTAAACGGAGATATTAAAAATCAAAACAGAATTCAGAACATATATCATAACATAATCCAGATCAGAAATCATAACAGAATTCAAGTCATGTATCAGAACAAAATTCAAGTCTGTAATCAAATAAAATATTTATATGATTAGGGAACACACCAGAGTTTACAGATATTATTCAGAGGTACTGGATAATCTTATCAAGCAGAAAAACACAGATCTTCAGTATGTCGATAGAATGTTGGAATTTAGAATCACTATTGGAAGAGTTCAATAACTAACGGATTCATCAGTTATTCAGAATATGACTTGAGCTGATAAAGAAGAAATGAAGGTTCAGGATATTTACAGTCTATGTCGATTGATTTCATTATCAAACAACTTCAAATGAGTATCTCCCAGAATTAATGCTTGTCGACTGCTCAATTCATTGTCCTTACAGGGTATTTATACTTTAATACCACAATTCTAGTCCATATATCATCTTCGAAATTATCGCTGAATAAACCTTCCAATGTCTTTATTTCATGTTCATGCTTTCACTATATCATGAAATACTGACGTACTTGATTTGTAATTCATGATCCATAAGAACATTACATCATGTATGTTTACTAACATTTCCATATTCATCCAAATCACTTATTTAATCCTCAGTCCTTGAGGTTACTTAATTTATTTAGCATTCAAGTCCATTCTAGTTACTTCGGGATTTTCTAGAGTAATTCAAACATTCCTAAATTTCAGATACACGTTGTGCTTCCATTTCATTCAATTTGGTCTTCGTGGTTGATTTGTCGAACAAACGTCCAATTCTTAGTACTGAATGCGATCTAGAGTTGAGCTGAGTTGAATACTTCCAAAATTTATCATCGAGCCAAACTTGAGAAGACGAACACGTATTCCAGTAATATCTATGCCATTCAGGTATTGACATAGCTATAGGGTTGATCTACTCACATAAATTTTGTTCCATTACTTTTAATGGTAGTCCATCACCTATGCTTATTTGGATTCCTTAATTAATCCAAGACATTTACTTAGTTTAGGTCATAAGGTTATTTTGGTGTTCAGTTTTATTCCATTCATTTCAGAACTCGAGGATATCCAATCATTCCTGAGCTTGGCGATATTCTTGGGTCATTTTCATTACATGGGTATTCTGGTCATTCTATAAATCTGATGTATTTCAATCAATTCCTTCCATCCTGTCTTATTATTTAATTCGAATTTATCATCTATTTCAGTCCCTTCAAACAATTCTTATAAAAGAGCACCCCGATAAATTGTTCTTCAGGTATTTACTCGTAACTCGAATATTTTCGGGTCAAATGCCTTCTCATATTTTTACCAACGGAGTATCAAGAATTTTTCTGCACTAAGTCAAGATCTTAACAATCAAATCCGTACTTAATCAAGTTAAGTACAAATCCTCAAAGTACTTTCTCATTCAGGGTCAACTCGGACTATTTTACCTTTCAAGGGCATTTTCATAATTTCTTAACCAGATAATTTCGATATTAGCTCTTAACAAAAATAATTATAATTTAGAGTTTATATTTCATCAAATAAAAAATGGTTAAATCATGGATTTAGTCACTGAATTTCCTATACTTCTTAAAACAGTCTGCCAACTTTGAAATTTTACAATTTAATCCACAGTTTCATTCAAAATACCAATTAAATCCACCACTTTATAATTTCTTAATTTTTAGCCCCTAAATTGGGGTGTTACAATTAAATTCAATCTTTCTAGTGCAATCACCATTTTTCACCTTACCCTCATTAAATCCGTCTGTCCCGATGGTTGCTACTGCCCAAGCCCCACCATGCCCTACCATCAATTGCTCTCCCCCACGTGAAACAACAGCCTTACCATGCCATGCCGCCATGCCATCTTTGCTCCAATAAACAACAACAGCAAGCAAAAAATATAAATCAACATATATATTTTTATTTTAGAGATATGTAAATGGGTTATAAAAACCCCAATATATATCAGTGTAAAGGAGGCTCTTTTTGAACTGATTCATGACTAAAACAAGAGACCAACTGTAACTCTTTTCTTCACCATTTTTTTCTTTTCAAAAATCAATACAACAACAAAAAGAAAGATTTTAAAGGTATTAACTTTGATATTTCATTCCAGCATATTTTTTTAACCTTAAAGTAAAATAGGAAGAGAAAGAGGGTGAAACGCTTACCCTTTTCTGAGTCGTCGTTGTCGAGGTCGAATAGTTTTGAGAGGTGAGCAGTCGGAGCTTTGGTTTCGGTTGGGTTAGAACTAGGTTGGCCACCATGGGTGATGGTCGGTGTGGACTTTTTTGGGTTGCCGATGTTGGTGAGTTTGGAGTTGAGGGTCGACGACCGCATGGTGACCGGCGTGGGATGCCGTTGAGTTTGGTGAAGTGGCGCCGCGTGGTGAGAAAAAGAGGAAAGAGCGTTTCTCTTTTCTTTTTGTTTTAGTTTAGTTTTTTTATATTAATAAATTATGTTAGATATAAAGTTTAGGGTTAATCGACATATAGTTCCTATAGGTTTGCCGTGATTTTGCAACTTGGTCACCTGATCTTCCTCTTTATTTATTTATTTTATTTTATTTTGGTCACTATTTACATGTTATATATTTTAGATTTGGCTTACGTTCTTCATTTCGTTTCAATTTATTTACCTGTTTGCTATGTTATTTCTTTGAAATTTGTCACTGATCTTTATATTATTTTATTTTAGTCACTGCTTTCACTTTTAAATGTGAGCTTTCATGGGTATATTCTATATTTATACTTACTGTTTTGTTTCTTTTCTGATTTAATCCTTACATAATTTGGTCTATGTTACTTTTATTTTTACTACATAAGTATGTTTATTATAATTATTATTCTTATTACTATTATTTGGCTTTTGTTGCCTGTATTTGTTACATCATATTATTTATACATATGTGTGTATATATTTACTTATTCCCCGACGCTTGTATATTTATATATATTACTAATTTTTATTCTATTTTGTTTGATCTTATTTATTTATTCATTTATTTTATTTTATAAAATGTCCAATTGTCAATATTTTTATATTTCTTGTACTTGATGTTAATTTTATTTTTAAATATTTTATTTGAATATTTTCAAGAGCACTCTATCGTAGAATGGGCATGAAAA